ACCACATTTAAAATATAATAATATATATTGATTCGCTGAAAATGTATTAAAGAGTAATATTATGGGATTTTCGGAACATATTATATACTGTTCATATAATAAAATATTAATATCAGAGGCGGACTGGGAATAAAAATTGGCCCCAGGGAAACAGAAAATTCAGCCCAATTTTGAGCTGGCACTTAATAAAATATTTATAAATTATCTGCCCAAATTTTTGACAGGCCCAGGCCACTCTAGCCAGTGCGCTCCTGGTTAATATAATATATGATTTTCCGACGTTTATGTTGAGAGCACTTCATTTTTAATGGTACTTTTATACATTATAAATATTTTGTTTCGGTTCACTTTTTTTTTTATCCTTGGCAAACTCGTATCTTGTTGGATTGTTGGAACTTGGAACAACATTTATGTTTTTCTGTTATACAATTTTTTTGTAGATTATAATTTAGTACCTATACCTTTTTTTTTTTTTTTTTTTTTTTTTTCAGTTTTAACCGACGGCGCCGCGGGAATTGCTTTCGCATTACTGCCGCGGCGCCGCCATCGTTTATTGAAATATCAAAATGTATACATACGGGGGAGGTAGACGGGACAATTCCCCGACTTACCCCCCCTTACATTACAGTTTATACACTTCATCTACATTTGGGTGTGGTTGTTCTGTACCTGGTCTTAGCGGGCCGACCGGAGTCCGCCGCCCTGGGGTGCCCGTTCGTCCTGCGATGCCGTGATCGCCTTACCCTCCCGTGGTGTCACAGGGGGGTGGGGATGAAGGAGCGGTGGTCGGTGACACCTCCGACGTGTCGCTGTTGCGACTGCGGAGGGCGTCTTCGGTCCGTCCTTCATCGCTGTTCGTCCCGTTCGTCTTCCTCCTTTTCGGCCATGATCGATTCGACCATGGTGGTAAATTCCCGGCGGTTCGTTCTCGCCTGATCGAGTATTCTCTTTCGCGCCGCCAGGTCGTCTGGTAACTCTTCATTGCGGGGGCCGCAGAGAATTTCCTCAACGTCACCGGCGTGGGGGGGTCGGCGGAGAAGACTGACCATAGTGGAGCGCTCATCTACCCACCTCGGGCAGACGAACAGCGTGTGTTCGGCGGTGTCGTCTGTGTGCATGCAGTAGGTGCAGTAGCTGTCGTCTGCCCGGTTGAATCTAGCGAGGTGGCTCCTGAAGCAGCCGTGAGCTGTGAGTACCTGGGTGAGGTGGAAAGTGAGGTCCATTGGCGGTTTAGTCAGCCATCGTGCTATGTCGGGTAGGAGTCGGTGGGTCCATCTCCGCCCTACCGCGCCAGGTGTGATGGCTGCCCGGTCCCATCTAGGTACCTATACCTACTTTAATTTAATATATTATATGTCCGTTTATACTTTTATACGTATTTATTGTACCTATACCTACATAATACAATATAATAATATGATATCACAATATTATATGGCTATCTGCTTAGTGTTTATGAATAACTATACATTTAAAATATTTATTGGGGCGCGATCATGAGATGTCTGCCAAATAATGTGCCAAATCAATGATCATTGGTCTGCAGTGGTCGCGATGATTTCGATAACATCGCGTGAGGCGTCGTGACCGTCTGTTATATTTACGGGGATGGGTATCATAATTCATAATAAGCCAGTTTTAATACTAAAAATGATGATATAATTTATTGACATAAAGGTACGAAATATGTACAATGTACCTACGCAATATTGTAGGATTTGGTGTTCCCCCCTCACAAACATGACCTGCAAATTATGCCACATTTTTATGTAAGAAAAAGTAACAATATGACCACTACGTCAAAATAAAAATAGCAGCGATGGCGATCAGTTCCTCGCGACTAAATGTCTTTGACCTTCGATAGAAAGTCAAAAACATACATTAAACCGTAATTTATTTTAATTTTAGTGTTCACTTACTTACACGTTTTAAATGTTTTAATATTTTATAGTATAGAAACTAGAAAAAAATGATTCAAACTTCAATTTCGAGAGTGGTTTACTGGTTTCAGATTGCTAATTGGATCTTGTCGACAGGGGTCTATGCAGTATTTTGTGGTTGAAAATGTACCTACCTACAATAGGTACAATGCAATTTTCAAAGTATTTAAATTAATGACAATTGTCAAGCTATTAAAATTTATAATGTATACCACTACAGTAATACAGATATAGGTACAGTACACGAACCTATTCACGCCCATCTTCGGTATTTTGATATAATATACGTTGGTAAAATGTTGTAATAAATATTGTAGACCTATAGTCTAACCTAAGCAGGTAATATAATGTGCGATTTTTTTTTAAGAAAAGGTCCGTTCAACCTACCGCATTACTATAATAGAAAAATAAATTACTAATGACAGTATAAAACATAATTTAAGAATATATAGATTATAGGCTGACAGACCGTCTCCGCTCAAAACCGTTTTCGTATACAATGGTCTATGTCATTGAATTCAAATCTATTACAAATATTTCATTATGCAGTGGCTTAACGGAATACAGATGCTCAAGGCTGGGCATTGACAAGTTAAAAAGTTAAAGTTAAGTTAAAAAGTTTATTTTGTTTTAACTTTTTAACTTAACTACCTAGTTACTTTTGGCTTTTCATTAACTTAACTGTTAATACTTACTAAATTTCTTTTTAATTAACGTGAAATTAACGAGTTAATTTTTCATTTTAAGAAGTAAGTGAAGTTTATTTATTTTGTTTTTAATTTTACTATATTTCACTATTTCAGTCTATTTTCATGTCAAAAAATATTTACCGTGAATTTTTAAAGTTAAAAATTTATATCATTGGAATCTAAATTATATGGAATTACTGTATAAAGTATAAACACTATGGTCTATAATTTAGTTTTGGGTTGGAAAAAAATTAAGTACGCTAACCTTGTAATTAACAAATTAACTTTTTTGTAACTTAATAAAAAGTTAACAAAAAGTATGTATTAACTTTTAACTTAACTTAACCTATAGTTAAATGAACTTATAACTTTTAACTTAATTATTGATGCATATTAAATTAACTTAATTGAGTTAAAAAAAAATCATTAAATTCCCAGCCTTGCAGATGAGTGACTTCCCCAGTTAATTTTTTTTTATACATTATATAGTTTTAAAAGTTAAAAAGGTTCGTGTCTTGGCGTCTTGTTATAATTTATTGTTCCTAATTTGTGGCCTCGCCGTATACAATATAATGTGGGTAGGTAGGTACCTACATACGTTCAGTACACCTATCACAGACAATATAATGTAGGCACTGATATATGATTACGCAATCGCACAATATGTGTATGGTGTATATATCAACATCAGTGCACAATAATCTGTGCAGGACTTACTTACCACCTGGCACCTACTACAACAATACTACCCAAATGTAGGTGAGTAAGTATTACCACCTGTACAGACGATTGTAAACTCAACCAGAATACCGGTTAGATAAAAAAGTAATGAAAAGGTCTAATATAAACTCCATACATAAATATATAATAATAAGAAAGTTAAATATTTCTATATTATCTATGGTAAACTCCATAAGTTTTATTTTCTTACCCTGGAATGGGAATATGGAAAATATTATACCAGAGTCAAGGCCTCAAGTATGTAAAACTAAATAATATATCTCGACAGGGCCGGCTCAATGTGGTAGCAAAATAGGCAGCCGCCTAGGGCGGCACTAGTGTGGGGGCGGCAAATTTCAAATGAACCAAAGTGATTTAATTATATTATATTATAAATTATAATATAATATAGTCTGCTGAATTGTATGTTCATTACTCAAATATACAAAAAAAGTTTACCGAGAACGCACTAAAGTCGTAATACTGCATGAATATAAATAGAACGGCGATAACAATACATGCATTAGTCGACCACAGACGAATGCACGTTCTTATCGAGTTTAGTTTGAAATTTAGTTGTAAATGATACTGCTAAATCATCAACTGGAGCAAGCAAATTTTTTATTCAAATTCAAGCTATATTTGTATTTTTAAGTGGTTCTACTCGTCGATGGGCTGTTTTAAAAAAACATATAACACAATTAACTTTAAAGCCATTAAGTGAAACTAGATGGGAGAGTAGAATAGATGCTATTAGACCATTCAGATATCAAACAGGTGAAATATTTGGAATGGCGGACAATTTCCCCCCGGACATTTTCCCCCCGACTGTTTTTGGCGTAGTAGGACATTTTCCCCCCAATATATATTCGATGCGGACATTTTCCCCCCATTTTTTTTTTAAGTTTATTATTTATTATTTAATAAGAAATTATTTTTTTTCAGTAAAATATAATTTTTTTTTATAAATATAATCAATTATACTATAATTACCTATTATAGTAGATGTATATTTTTGATTGATTCAACTACTCGAAACAATAAAATAATAGTAATATTATATTTAAAAGATTGTCTAAATAAAAAATAATAGTAAGTACTAGCATACTGTATTAAGCATATTTTATTACCTTATTATTTATTCGCTAGTAAAATTGAAATCTAAAAATGTATCTAAAACCCAATCAATTGCTGGGCTGTCAAAAACTATCATATTATTTGATTTATTAGACTATTAAGATAAGATTCTTCTACAATCTTATATCTTCATGAGCAAAGGTTTTGCACTTTTGTATAAAAATTTTTCAAAGCAGTTGTAGTCATTTAGTAGTGGTTTAGTGATTGTAACTCGTAATTCGTAAAGTGAAAAATATATAAAATAAAAATTTTTTTTGTCTTATTATATTTATGAAAAAAAAAAATATGAAATTTTTAACCTATTTTACTTATTTCCATTTTTTTGTATGTCTTATTATATTTATGAAAAAAAAAAATGAAATTTATAGTATACATTTATAAAGTTAATTGTAGTAGGTATAATTGATTATATTTATGAAAAAAAAATAATTAAAAAAAAAGGGGGGAAAATGTCCGCATCGGAACATTTTTCGGGGGAAAATGTCCTACTACGCCAAAAACAGTCGGGGGGAAAATGTCCGGGGGGAAATTGTCCGGATACCAAATATTTGATGCATTATACGAAATAAGTCAGGATATATCTTTTGATCAAATTACCCGATTAGAAGCTGAATCTTTAGCTAAAAAAATAAAAAATTTTAACTTTGTGTGTTGCGTTGTAATTTGGCATTCAATTTTAAATCAAATAAATCTAGCAAGTAAAGTGTTACAGAAAGTAACATTAGATATATCTGGCGCAGAAAATATTTTATCTGAAACAATTAATTTTTTGAAAAAAATTCGATGTGATGAGAGTTTTGATAAATTCTTAAGAGATGCTGAAACCATAGCTCTTGAATTGGATATTGAGGCTTCTTTTAGGCAACAAACTTCTATACGCCCACGAAAAAAGAAAACTGTGTTCTTTTCTTATGAACAACCAGATGAACCCATAATTAATTTAAAAACTAAATTTAAAGTTGAATTATACTTTTATATATTAGACGTAGCTCTCAATTCTCTCGAAGAAAGATTTGAACAATTACATAACCACTGCGATAACTTTAAATTTTTGTATGATATAAGTAGTCTAAAAAGTATAACGAAAGATAACATTGTGAAAAATTGTATGGATCTTCAATTGCTACTATCAGAAAATGAAAATGTTAGTAATTCAGATATTGATGCTATAGAAATGACAGATGAGTTAGTAGCAATATCTGAGTTATTAAAACCCAACAGTACTCCATTAGAAGTGTTACAGTTTATTGTAAACAATAACAATTTTGTACCAAATGTAGCTGTAGCACTTCGAATTATTTTAACTATGCCCGTGTCGGTCGCATCTGGTGAACGGAGCTTTTCAAAATTAAAAATAATTAAAAACTATTTGAGGTCTTCTATGAATCAAGAAAGGTTAAGTGATCTTGCTACAATTTCTATTGAAAAAGAAGTAATGGAAAATCTGGAGTTCAAAAATTTACTGATTGATTTTGCCCAAGAAAAGGCTCGCAAAATTAATTTTATTTAATATATTTTTTTTTTTTTTGTTATATATTTTTTAATGTTAAATTAAATACATATTTTTTATCTATGATAACGATAATGAATGTATATTGTATAACAATGGTCAAAAATATTACTTGTTCTATTTTATACCCAACATTTATTTTAATTTTATTATTATTATTTTATATTTTGTAAAGAAAACTTAGGTCAGTCAAAACATTTTATTTTTTTTTAATTAAACAAGGGTTCATAGATAAAAATGAATGTCCTTATTTTATCAATACACTCCTCTCCAAAAAAATAACTATTGCATAGGGCAGCTTAAATCAGATTTGCCTAGGGCGGCAAAAAACCTACGGCCGGCCCTGTATCTCGAACAAATAAACTCCAAATTCAAAATGAAAAAAAAAAAATTATTGTGTTGGAGAACGCTGGTAAACGGACATTTCGCCCCCGGCAATTATTGAGATAGGACGTTTCGTCCCTGAGAGTTATTAGCCATAGGACGTTTGGTCCCCGGTATACTTAGATAATCTAAATACATTCATTTTTAATGAACAATTTAATCTTTAAATGACAATACTACAAAATATACAAATACATAATCAATATTCATACAATACAATTACAAATAGTCAAGATTTAAATACATCACAATATTGTATTAAGTCAACACAAATTGTAGTCAAAATTAATAAATTAAAATTAAATACTATAATATTAAGATAAATTATATATATTTATTTTTAGATAACTGACTTATGTTTTTTAAATAGTATAAAATGTAATTATCGTCATTATATCGAAATCCCGTACAATATAATATTATTATGATTGTACCTAATATCTTTTCCTTAAAACTAACTATTTTTGGTACATTTATTATTTCATTTTGTTTTTGTACCAATGCAGACAATGCAGTCGTTGCAGACGCATTGCACATCCGTATTGAATACTCTCTGTATCAAATACTCTTAAAATAAAGTAGTTAAATAAATATATAATGTTACATTGTTATAATGTTAAAGTAAAACCACGACGGCATGGTATTTTTATTTAACAAGAATAATTATAAGTAGAAACAAATTAAGAATTAAAAGAAAAAAAAAGTATTCAATAAAATAGTATTCAATATGGAAAAAAGTATTTGAATACTTTTACTCAAATACTTTACAACACTGTATATTAGACATTACAGAATTGTTCATAAAAATAAATGTATTAAAATGATGAACTGTGAAGTAATTAATAACCTGAGAACCGAATGTCCTAACCTAATGAAAATATGCCGGGGACCAAACGTCCTATGTCTAATAACTCTCCGGGACGAAATGTCCTATCTCAATAATTGTCGGGGACGAAACGTCCGTGGACTGGTTTTTTTGACGGGGACGAAACGGCGGGTGCGAAAGGTCCGTGATTCGAAAACGCTATGTCGCTATAAATAGTTATTATAATGGATTTATATAGACTTAATAGTTTGAACATCAACAAATTGTATCACATCATTATTATTTAGTTAACAGTTCAAAATCGTATAACATAACAAATAACAATGATAACATTTAACATATCATACCTACATATTTTATGATTATTACAATTAGGTATCTATCATGATTTTTTGACGTAATACTGGCCATTACAATTTGTGTGATTTGTTCGGAAATTTTTTTTTCTTTAAAAATGATATGTAGGTATATTATAATAATTCTATGCTGTTACTTGATTTTCTTCACTGGCGAAGTTTACATAAACTCAATTTAACCTGAATTTTTTTACCTAGCGCAGTTTACACTAGAAAAAGTTACTTTTGGCGGAGTTTGCATGCGCCTAGTGCCCACCTAACAACCCTGTGTAGGTGAGTAAGTGGGTGATACCTTTTTCGACCTAAATCGTACTCTTTCCTTTTCGGGCTTCGGCCAAACCAAAAAATGTATTTAGAAATGTATTAAAGCCTACTTATATTATTATTGTTATTGATTATTTGATTACCTGATATAGTTAGTAACTAATTATTAGTTAGCTATTAGTTACATAAATAGATGAATTTTATAACTTATATTTGTAGTATTTTTTTTATATTATGTATTAAATTAAGTATGCAACTTGGTATAAATGTGGACAAAATATGAGCATGCTTAAAGTAACAGAAGAAGTTATTGATCAAATAATTATGTATTATTATTTATTTAATTATAACAGAAAGTAGGTTTGGTCGAAAGGGGAAGGGTACAATTTTGGTCAAAAATGGCCATGCACGATCACGTACTGACGACTGACCTAATACATAATATACAACCCTGATGTAGGTGAGTAAGTACTATAACCTTTACTACCTATAATACTAACCCTACACAATACACACGTTTCCGTAAAGATAGTATATTATATATTATTTCAATTAATTTTTAATGAACAGAATGATTATTGTACATACAAGAATTGAAATACTTATTACAATTGATTTTTACAGCAGGTACCTGCACTATAAAATCGTTGGTTGGTTAGCTAAAGTGCAAAGGTATATAATATGTGTGATAGAACAGTATACACTGTCAGTTCCAAAGTGTTCTGTTCGCTTTTGTACAACAGTTTTACTTTATAAGTATATTAATAGAGTATACTGTATGTTCATGTACATGAACCGTTTATATTGTATTAAACTCTAATTAATCAATTAGTTTCTCTGGCCATAGAGTTTTGAATCTTGAATATCTCTTCTAATATACATTGGAATATTCTACGGGCTTCATTACTATGGCAATTAAAAAATAAAAAAATATATTTTCTTATATATTATATACATTCTATTCCAAATCATATAAACCTAAAACTTTATTGACTTTATAAATAAATATTAAATATAATCAATATATGTACATACATGTTCATTAAATAAAAAAAAAATTAAATGAATAATAAATATAAAAATAATAATAACAGGTATTAAAATTTATAAATAATATATATGGTAATAGTAAGCAGATATCTTAATTATTTACACGCTATCCTTGCTCAGTGATCAATAAGATCATTTTCAACCTGTTTTTATTTCAGGAAGAAAAATTATAAAGTCCTTTCAGTCCTCTAGTTTGTATTATTACTTATATAATAGTTACAGTAAACTTATGTCAGCATTTTGGTCTCAATTAAACATTTTTTGATAAAATTCACTTTAACCAAAAAAAAAAAAAAAACATACATAATATATACAAAAAATTATTTTATAAATCTTAAATTACATTAATAATTACATAAAACAAAAATAATATTTAAATTTAATGATAGGATAAATAGAGGTCTTCACTGCTTTTATTTGTAATATAGGTATTATAGGTTTCAAACAAAAATACTGTTACTCGATTAACTTTAAGAGTTAATATTTTGAAAGGAATAAATTGTATTTTATTCAATGTACTCAAAGTGAGTACTATACAGTGCACTTACTGTATAACAATTTAATTAAATAGATCTATAAAAAAAATACATTGATAAATGTATAAGACTAATGGTTTATATATAGTGAGAAGAAAACTTTAAAGTATAAAAACGTCATATAAGCTTTTCACATTTAGGCTATTTACACAATATAAAATATTTAGGTGCATAATTACAAATTTTACTAACATACCTTTATAATGACAGTTTTGAAGACACGTCGATGGCACAATGTATGTGCTTTGATCGAAATTGGTATATGGCAAACGCTAAGAAGGAAGTCCAAGTGCTGCGGGGTTTTGTTGTTGTTTAGACTGTAATTGCATGTGTTGTTGTTGCATGTGTAAGCTTTGTTGTTGTAGGTGCATTTGTTGCTGCATATGTAGTTGTTGTTGTTGCTGTAAATGGAGATGATGTTGTTGAGGTGGTGACACAAATGGTTTCAGTTGAATTGGAAATTGTCCGTCTGTCCACGATATAAGAGCGTGTTCGGGCATTTCGGACGATTGAAAATGGTCTTTAAGTAATGTTTGTGAAAAGTTAGAGTGCATTTGCAGTGCTTCATTTTCTCTAACAGGATCATTGCACATCCTATATAAATCTAAACACAATTGTAAAAAATTAGAAATTACTAACTCAAATTACTACAGTAAAAAATCAAAATTAAAATGTGTATATTTATACTAATAAAATACCTTTAAGAATAGCTGATGCCCATAGCTGTACATGGACATCAGGAATTTTACTAGCTAACTGCATAGCAGGGGTGACCATGTTCATACTTTCTCTACTATTGCCTAATGATAAAAATATATGACCAAGCAACACTAAGGAACAACTTGTCAGACGGTTTAAATCTTCTGCATTAGCCATTTTTAATGTTTCTCTTAAGTATCTCCTAGATAACAATATTAAATAATTAAACATTTAATGTGTTATGCAATTTTATAGACACTTTTCTACACTTCAATAATCAAAAATTAAAAACAGTTTTATTTTGAGTTCATTTACAACACACGTCAGTGATAAGTAAAGTAAATGTAAACTACGGAAATTAATATAAAGTTTTATCAAAAACTTGTCTCAACACAGTAAAATCTAATATTGTATGTATTTTTTTGAAATTAAAAGAAAATATTGATTGTTCTGTTCTTAAAAATGATTCTGATTAACAAAAAATTATGAGTACAGAATACAGATTATAATTGAATATGATAAAAGAAGAAGCTTACCATTTAAAAACTAATGAACAATAAATATTTAATAACTATATTCAAATTAAATATAAAGTACACAATTTGATATTTTGTATTTAGTTTAAACAGTTAACTCACTTTGCTTCATTGTAACGGGCTTGGAAAAATGATTGCAAACCTTGAACATAGTATGCAGCAGCTCTAAGACTGTGCGAGTGCGAAGTTAGAGTTTCTGGGTTTATACGGTCTAAAAGAGCATTAAGTTCTACATCTCTTTTACCTCTTAAGTAAACAATAGCTAAATTGAGGTTTGCAAATGTCCACAACTCACGTTCTTGTGACAACTGTAAAATAAGATTTATAATATATTGTCTATAAATTATACACATTCAACATGTTTTATTACATTTTTATAATACATTTGGTTAATAGTTTAATAAAAAGCTTATTGACCTCGTAAAAGTTATAGAACTTTGAATTCAAGTATATGAAAGTCAAATTACTTGTTGTTTATTTTTTAGCAACTTTTGGAACAAAAATTACATAAAATAGATATTTACATATTTAACAAAAGAATGGATTTGGTATATCATATTGCATAAAAATAATTTTCAATGTCTTTATAATGTAATATTGTTAAGTGAAAGAGGATCAGATATTTTAATTTATTTTTTTATTTATGTAACAATATAATACCGTCAATTGCAAAAATAAAAGAATTTACACCTGCATATTTTTTCTATAAAACACAATAAATTTATAATTAAATTTAATAAATGAGTTTATGTAAAATATAAATGTACACAAAAATGCAAGGCAATAGTTATGTTAGTTGCATATTCTTATGCAAGGGTTAAAGTGGAGGGGGCCGGGGGAGGTTACCTCTGATGAAGGTTAAAAAGCCCCTTTAAAAAAGTAGTAATATTTGTGATTTAAATTGTACATGAAATAAATTACAAATTTGAACATTATGCAGAGTTAAATGTGGGATGAATATGCTTACACAATTACTGTTTAACATTTATGCATTACATATACATTTTACATTGTACATAAAATTATGCTTGGAATGCATAAAACTGAATTCCGGAAAAAAGAACACGGATAAAAAGAACAATTTAAAAAAATTAAAAATAAATTAATGATCATGAAAATTAAAATAATATATCAAATTTCAATAGTAAGGAAAATGCTATGAAAATCAATTTTTGTACTTCCAATAATATGGATTATTGAACAGTTGAATGTAAAAATACCTATTATCTATATTGTAGAAGCAGGGGCGTACTCAGGAATTTTCAATGGGGGGGGGGGGTTGAACATTTGGTTTTTTATCACGGGGACTTTGTCACCTCCTTTTTAAAAATATTAAATATAAACATGGTAATGTACTCTACAGAAAATAAATTTCAAAAATGAAAAATGTTTATTTAAAGAACAATATTCCGATTCCGATTGATTAACGTGTTCATGTTTTCTTTTAAGATTATTGTAGGGTTCAATGTACTTAGAACTTCCAGGCACACTAGTAAAAAATGTCAATTTGAAAACTACATATACATTTTTCACTGTTTATTTTTCTAACATAATTTATATTTATTGAAGAAATATATAAACAAATTTTTTGACAAAGGTTGGTTGCTCAATACACAGTCAAATATTAACCAAATATATCATAACGCATTATGTCAAAACAAGAATGATATTCACATACAAAAGAAAAAAATGAGCAAGGTGCTAAAAACAAGAAAACACCAAAAAAACTAAACAATTTTTCAAAATTAGTTTGAAGTTTATAAGATAACTATTATTGAATAATATTATAATATAAATAATATACCTAATCATAAAATAAAATATGCAAAATATTTTAAACATGTTTTTAGTTTTTTATGAGCACTAGAAAATAATACTCCACTCTACCAGACTACTATTAGAATTAGGAGTAGAATCATAATAGTTTTAATTTAATTTAAAGATTTTAAGAAGGATGCAAATATCCAAAGAAGTGACTAAATTGTACATAATATTTTTTTCTAATTGATGTCTACTTGATAAAAATATTGCCAATGAATAAAATGCAAATGTAATGTATAATTACAGGCTCCAAATTTGTTATACCAACTCAATAAAAAAAAAACTTTTTATGATTCAATGTTTTTGTAAATACTGACTTCAATTTTAAAAAATATTAGCATTTTAATTCTGAAGTTTTAAGACATTTTGCATTTAACAGAATGAATATACAGGCCTTCGTAGGACAAGAAGCGCGCTCTGGTGACTATAGAACTGTGGTAATATTTTCAATCAAGAATGTATACGTATAGGGGTCCAGAGTGACGACAACTTATCAATACACCTTGTATGTTTGATTTAAATTTTATCTGGTTATCATAATACAGTTCTTAACAGATAATGCTTGTAATCGTTGTATAATGCATGTTGATATAAAATTGAAAATAAATATATTTGTTTATTTTTTCCCTTCTTAAAAATTTTTTTTTAGAAAATTGCTCCTGTGAATTATATTATGTATAAACAAGAACGCACAAAAGTGCATCGGTTAGTAAGGTCATGGGAGGGGTTCAAACCCCATGAACCCCCCCCCCCCCTTGAGTACGCCCCTGTGTAGAAGAGAAGTTAATCTGTGCCTGTATAAAAGTAAATTTTCAATATTTCAATTACTAAACTCAATAATTCAAATTCAAAAAGTAAAATATCACAATTTATAGAGCTAATTATTGGACATTGAAAATAAAATATAGAAAATTAACTCATACATAAGTACATAACATACTTTGATTTAACTTCCATTATCATTAATTCATTTTTTATTTTATTTGAAAATATCTCAAATGATTTATAAAATATTTTTTGCCATACACTGAAAGTTTTTTTTACCTTTTACTCTTAAAACTATATGGAGACATTAGTTGCCCCTGGAATTTATTCCAAATTTAAGGGTCGTCGCTACTGCCGTCAATTTTAGCTCCAAATATCTTATATTTTGACAAAATTAAAGTTAGTATATGTTGTCTGATTTTGATTCTGAAAAAAATTTTAATTCAACAGAAAATTGTCTATCTATAGATAAATAGAGAACACTTTGTAAAAATTAAATCTTATATTATTGTGAACTGTAAATGAAATCTTAAAAATATAAATTTTTTCAAATCATAATTAAAATTCAAAAAGCAATGTTTCATACAATTTACAGATATTTTTCTGCCGAATTCAAATATTTTTTTAAGAATCAAAATCAGACAAAGTTTATTAACTTTAATTATTTACAAAGCAATAAGTAAGTTGTTGTCAAAATTTGTATAGTTAATATTGTTTTCGAATTATATACATGTGCATGCACGTACGAGAGCGGTACGCACATAAAAATCCACTCATACTAATAATCATTTACAACTAACACATAGATCCCAGGCAGCTAAGATGAGATTAGAAATTGCCTAAATGTTGCCCATTAAATAATAGCTGTAGCGAGGCCCCTTAAGCCCTGGTCTTAGGCATGTATTTTATGTTCTACTCTTTAGTACACCTACCCTTAAAGAAGTAGTAAATTGCATTTCAGCAGCGTCCATACAATTCATACTCATAGCATATAGGCCAATGAGCATATGGAGTTGAGGACGGTGAGAATTTAAAAGCCTTGGGTGTCTTTGACAAATACTACATACTTGAGACATCTCACGTAATGCCTGTGATTTATTTCCAGTTACTAGTCTACACATAACCATGTTTTCGAGTAACATTAACTGGAAGACTGACAATATTGGGGTTTTATTGTCACCGGCTGTAAAGAATGAATGTAAAGAGTACAAATATAAATTAATAATCTTTTTTTTATTGTTAACTCATAAATTACCTTTTAGTTTTTCAATCTGTGCCAAAGCTTTATCAGTGTACTTTTGCGCTTTGTCCATGTACCCTGCTTGCATACTATGCATTACAGTAACTAAATAAACTACAACATATAATTGTTCTTTGGGCATCCATATGAACATATCACCCATGTTAGATCCACAAACAACTGCAACAAAATTATTATTTATTTTAAATTACATTAACTAACATGGCTATTTTCTTAGTTAGAATTATGAATAAAGTTTTCTAATTTTGAATTTCACTTATTACAATAATATTAATGTATGCATTTGATATAGTTTAACTTAATTTAGTACAGTTAAAACAGAAAACCACTTAAAAGGAACCAAGTCGAACTGAGTTGATCGTTTTAACCGAAAAAAACTACAGCATTAAAAAAAAATAACAATAAACAACCAATTTATTACTAATTTCAAAGAATAGAACTCTATTAAAGTTGTATTCTTTTCATATACTTATTTTTGAAATAAGTTGACTATAGGTCTTAATATTTTGTAGAGCTTATTTAGATTATTAAATATTTGATTATATAAAATATTCATTAGTTAAATATAATTAGGCTAAAAGAAATTAGTGAGTAGTTAAAGCATAAAGACAAGGATTTATTTAAATTGTCAATAATAACCTTCATCGGAGGGCCAAGTAGGCTGCATGATTGTCAGAATACTTTGTTGTAACTGTTTTAAACATGGTTTGACACTCTTTACTTGCCCAGCCATTAAATAATGACATACCTTTAAACAATAATAATTGATGAAAAATACTTACATGAAAGATAATTAATATAATTGAAATTATTACTTGTAAAACTAAAAAGAAGACTTTTAGATATTCTTTCTGATACTGACTGGCTTGCCAATTATCAACTAAATATCCCGCTTGGGTTAACAACGGAGAAACTTCTGTGATTTTTTTGTCAATAAGCAGTAACTGAGTATACAACAAGAAAATTTAAAAAATTTAAAAATCAGTTATCACTGTTCTCAATACAATGTTGCAAATAAAAAATAAAAATACATACCATGCACCTACTGAGTAGAAAAAGTACTCGGGTATAAGCTGCCGACGATATGTGAGCGTAATCAACGCCCACACCAAGAAGGCTGCTGGCCAATTCGTAATCTTTTTCTACAGCATGTATTTGCTATAAAACAAAAAAAAAAAAAATCAAAATTAACGGAAAACAGTTTGTGAACATTGAAGTTGGTTATGCATTTATGGTGAAAGCCGTTAGCATTTTTACTCACGGCTAATTGAAATATAAGTCTACAGTGCCAGTAGATGTTGTGCTGCGATAGTTCAACGGCTTTCCTCAGAATTGGCTTGGCCAGATTCGATTGGTTCTGTTGCTGGTACAGTTCAGCCACGACACTGGCTGCCTCGAATTTGACGTCGTCAAACGCGTTGATAGACTGCGACAGCAACCACTATGAACAGGCAAAAATCGAGTAAAGTATGTTGTCGGTCCGAGGGGGGGGGGGGGGTCGGACGATGACCGATCGGCAGCGGAATTACCGCTTGTTCGAGGTGAGTCCGAGCCAGGTCCGTGTTTTTCGTGTACTGCAGAAGTATGTTGCCCAGCTGCAGATGGGTCCGGGCTTCGACCCTCGGCGGAGGTTTGAAACTGAAAACGGCCTGTAGGCACTGGATACACATCTTGATGCGATTTGACGTCCGGAAGTTTTCTGCTAGCCCTAGCAACGACAGGTACCACGCATCTTGCGATGACGCCATCGGACGGCGGGGAAGTATCCGTCGGAAAAGTTAGGGGAAAGTATAAGACAACTGCAGAGATTTCCTTTTTAACAGTTACATATTACATTTATCAACAATTGTTATAATCACGAAAAATTGTCAACAAACACACACACTTAAAAGTTAAAACACCAGCAAGAACAACTGTTTTGGGAACCTGACCGCTGTTACTAACTTACCAGATACCAAATGTATGGTAACATACGATAACCTTATCATGTGGGCGTTCGATAAGAGCACGATTAAAAATATCTTTAATCCATTGAACTATATGATATCATATTATAGTTCAATGATTATATCTTAGTTCGTGCATGATATACAGGCTATACAGCGCTTTATAGGATTGTTGTGCACTTGTGTTAACTGGGAGAATAATGAACTATTAGTTCCTTAATCTCCCGGTTAACACAGAACAATCCTATAAAGCGCTAGCGGTCTAGCCGTAACGTGAGAAGTTATTGTAACGAAATATGAGTTGATAAGGCACTGCGTTCCGTAATCCGTATCCAGTATATTATCTTAATTCTTGATCAATACACATTACACAATCACTTTTTTAGTTTTTTGTCGTACTAATAACTTCACCATACTTATGCTTATGAATCAGAACTGTGATAAAAGCCTAAAGCCTTGTTAAAAGTATATTATTATTTTCCATTTCAACATTTCAAAAACAAAAATCGTTGACGGCACCGCTATCTATCGGCTATCGATAAAAGACAGAAATCGGTTGACGTTTTTCGGCACTCGTAGAAAAGTTTAAAACGATGACTGTAGATGGCGCTAATTTTATTGTCTCAACGCGTTGATTGAATATTCAATATATTATTGTATTTGCGATCATCGATAACGTTATTCACAAACTTCAATTCCAACAATCAGAATATCAGGATATCTATTATTAGTAATGGCACTTTAAAACCATTTGTTGTTAAGTCAATGTATCACTACAATATTTAATATTATAATACCTAGTGGCAATTTATAGAATATTCAGAATTCCAATTAATCTACCCAAAATGTATTCATAACAAATTTCTTAATTTTAAATATTTTTTTCTTTAAAATAAAAACCATGTTCATATTTCTGTGAATCTAAAATACAAAAAAAGGCTAGAGTAGTAGAGTACTAATTATTTTTAATTTACGTTAGTTTAGTCTTGGAAAAAAAATTTAAGAAATAAACTAAATTTTAAAGGGGTCCGTGCAAAAACAAAGGTATTCCATTTTCATAAAAAATCATAATATTTGATAAAAAAAAAAAATTAAGAGTATACCTTTGCAAGAACGAGACAAATCCAACAATTTGTAGGTATAGGAAATATAATGTACGGTGGAACAGTCTAGTTTTTATTTTCTGTTCAAAAACCTGGTAGCTCTAAAAGAATATTATATATTATAATGAATAAAATTGATAAATTAGTGATCTGTTCAAAAATTAAAATACAAGAGAGTTCCTAAAATTAAAATGTTTTTTTTTTTTTTGTCAGAAAAGTTTTAAAATATGAATTTGTCTGGTTTTTGCAAGGACTCCTTGCACGTCTTATTTTAGATGTTTCTTTAAAATTAAATATTGAGATCGTGAATAAAACGGGATAATCTGATAGTACATTAGGTACCTACGAAAAACCAAGGAAAAAGAAAAATTTTTATATATTTTTCTTAATATATTTTGTCTCTTTTTTACTTCATTAAGCATAAATTTTAATTTTCTAAATAAAAATTTAGATCAATAATCCATCTTAACAGGTATCCTCAGATCAGATTTACTCGTACCTACTTATATCATGCAATTAATAAATAATAGGAAATTAACTAATTACAGGACATAATACAATATAATTAAAAACAACTGTAGTTATAATATAATATTAATATATATTAAATTACATTTTTTTAATATATTTTATATTTAATTTTGCATGGTTTATATTTAAAAAAGGATCGTTAAATAAACAAGTTCGGAAAGCTCATATTGCAAGCTTGCTAAAATACCTGTTTTTATACATATTTTAAAATACCTAATGTAATAAATTCCATTTATAATATTATAATGTATGTACGATGTACCTACTGTAGTAACTACTGACAGACGTGACAGTAAATAATTAAAAATCAACAATCGTAATTGATAACTATATAATGTACCTACCTACTGGTAACAAGCGAATAGACAAGGGGTGTCCAACCTACAGCCCGCTGGCCGAATCCGGCCCGCCAAGTTTTTTTCACTGGCCCGCCAAGCTAATCAATGTTTTGAAAATAATATATTTATTATATTATTTTCATTTAGTTATCATTGTTTTAAATTTATTGAATTAATTAAATTAAATAAATCTGGTCAGTCGAATAGAGTAAAAATAATAAAAATAAGTAAAAAATATAGTAAATATAATAATGAAAAAAATATACTTTAACGATATCACGTTGTATAAGAAATGGCAGTTAAAAAATGTTCAATATCGAGTGTACCGCATTATTATAATCGTCACATAATTTATGACTGCATTTGTATTTTTATAAAGTTAAAATTTGTACAAAATTAGATATTTCAACGAAGAATAACAATTTTAGTTATTTTGTTGTAATTTAAAAATACAATTTGTGGTTAGTATCTAAAAATTTTAAAGTATATTATTCATTATTATATTATTGTATATTTTTTTTTAGCTAACCTACTGTATTATTAATGTTTTATAATAAATGCTTTAATAATAATAAAATAATAATACAATTTACTTAGTGATATTTTAGGCCTTTTTTTAAAATTAAATTTCGGTAACAGGTACAGGTGACAGCGGACTTAATAAAATCTCAAGTTCATCTAGTGTAGTTGGATCGGATAGGATTTTTATTTTTTCTATGGTTTCTGATAGTTTGTTTTAATGTCTATTCAACTGAATAATTTATATATTAACTAACTATTAGGTAAAACCTACAATAAAATTATTTACCATATCGTGCATGTTTTATCTTAACAGTCTAATATGCCCGTATGCATAAATGCATAATATAGTTAATTATGTATTTATGTGACACACAAATTGGATATGCATACGGACATGATAGTTTATAATATTAATACTATCCATTGTGACTCATAAGTTTAATGTGCATACGGGCATTAATAATAGTCAAACAGCTTTTAGGTCCGATTTTTAATCGATTTTTTGCAAAATACCTAACTATTATCTATTATCAAATAGAACCTTGTATAACCTATAAACATTCAATTTCATTGACCGCGAAAATTCAGGTTAATCAACATTTATCTATATAGGACATAGGTAGTATAGTATACTACTAAATAGTATAATAATATAATATATTATATTATAGTATACTACTATATAGTATAATAATATAATCTTATATATATAAAAATGAATGTATGTCAGTGTGTCAGTGTGTCTGTGTGTCTGTGTGTCCATGTTACCATGGTTACCAAGGTTGCCATGGTTACTAAGGTTACCAAGATTTCATATCAATCTATATATATAAAAATGAATGTATGTCAGTGTGTGTGTGTGTGTGTGTGTGTGTCCATATTACCATGGCAACTATATCTGTATATAAAAAACAGTAAGCTGATTGACTGCTATCAACGCACAGCTCAAACCATTGGACGGATCTGGCTGAAATTTGGCATACAGATAGCTATTATAATATAGACGTGCGCTAAGAAAGGATTTGCCAAAATTCGCATTTTAAATAGGTGCTGAAACAGGGACATTGAGATTCACGATAGAAATTGGAAATTTTATTTTTATTTATTTATAGTTGCCATTGGTTACAGTCTACATTAGAAATTAGCATTTATTTATTGGTTGCCATTGGTTATTCGGGCAGATCAGGTACAAGCTTGCATCAAATCGAATTATTGAACAATGCTTACCAGGGTGGCAGAGTTGCACTTACCGCAGAAAATTACACCCAAAAGGAGTTCAACAATCATAATTTTTTTAAGAGTTGCGATTTTTTACGAGCAACCAAATTTATAAACTTGGTATAACTTTGATACTTTAGAGTTAAATCATACACTTCCGTACAAACAGCACGGGGTCCGCGATCTACCGCAGGTAGATTGCCTACCTGATAATGTACTGCTGCGATTCAGAATTTTTATTCAGGGCAACGGGAAAGATAAGATAAATTTTGAACACCATACACGTTAATGAATTGAACAAAGTTTGAGTAGGTAGTATTGAGTTGATCCATTTAACGGGCGACGAAGTGCACGGGATCAGCTAGTATATTATAAATCTAAAAATATTTGGCAATTTTAAATACTTACAGGTAAATGGCATAAGTATAATATTAGTCTAAATATTTTGAAAGTTTTTTGTGTATTAGTAATTTAAGTAGTACCTAGTAGCATGTTTAAGATTTCTACTTTTCCAATAAATTGATCTGGATATAGGTATTTACATTATCTAGGATATACAAAATTATACTGTAAAATTGTAAAACTCAGAATGATTATTGTAGTTTGGGATTTTACAAACGGTAGATATGGAAAATCTTAAGATAAATATTCAACCAATGTCGGTAAAAGTTCAAAAAATCAAAAAATGTGTAAGATTTAATTGGATATTATAACTATTCTATAAAATATTATTCTTTTATGTTGAATTATATTTATTTAAGAAAAACTTATCCATATTATTTACTTATTAGCTAGGCACAAATTTTTTTATTAGTTAGTGCAATAAGCTTTTACCTTTCATAAAATATTACAGAAGACAATTTTAATTTTATTATTTTTTATTAGGTAGTGCATATTTAGTTATGATGACACTCACAGAATTTTTTAAAAATTTGTTTGTACCGAATTTTGCATTGGTTTGTTATACATTTTTTAAAATCAATTACATATTTTCAACCCTTATCTAGTTATCTACCAGTTAAAAAGAACTGTGAAATAGCTTGCCTTATTTACATACCTATTTAATTTTCTAGTCATTTAATTTTGTGTA